CAGGCGTCGCCTTTGTTCAAGGAATGAAGAAAGGAAAGCGCCTTTCCGAGAAGGGGAAAGCGACGCGCGTTGTTTGGCACACTAGAGAGGGTGTATGAAGTCGTCCCCAACTACTAGGCATGTGTTGCGTATGGAAGGGCATACGGCGTGTAGACTATCAGTGTTATTCGAGGAGCGGACAATGGATATCAGGTGCATTGTAGGTGGCTATTTTGGCCAAGTTTGTCGTACGACCTCACCAGAAGGGTAGGGGCGTGCTTGATGATTTGTTTTTGTGCTGCGCAGGGAGGACCTTGTCGAGTCAGCCGAGCGTGGCGTAGAGAGCGAGCCGGGGGCGGTGGTAGATATTGTCTTGCCTTGATGTTGCAGTACGGCCGTTGGAATCTTTCGTGATATGAACGGCGTGANCGGGGGCGGTGGTAGATATTGTCTTGCCTTGATGTTGCAGTACGGCCGTTGGAATCTTTCATGATATGAACGGCGTGTAGGCGTTGAGATTTGTAAGGGGTTGTGATCCGACGGCGGGTTTCCCCTTGTTTCTGATTTGCGTTGTTTTAGGTTTTCGGATGTACTCTTCGACGCACGAGTGGTGGTTATTCACTGGCGTAAAGAACCAAGGGAGGGTGTTCGTGCGTGGAGGTAGATTAGTCGGATTGTACCAAATCACTGGCGGTTTCGTGTACCGCAGATGGGATTGCCTTGAGGGGCGGCTAGGAGAGACCTTGAGATACGAGTTGCGGGCCCCCTTTCCGACTTGCTTTGGGCCTGGCACTCTTCCTCCCTCCTTCTCCCTCATGTCCCCCTACGATAATACATGCCGTTAACAACACTCTTTGGACTCTGGAGGTCACACAACAAGGGCATACCAACCTTGTCCGGGTTGGATGTAGTGGGGGGTGTTTTTTTTTTTTTTTACGGGTAATGTATCCACCATGTCCGTAGACCCACGAACACCCTCTCTGGTCTTTCACGCGAGTGCCTAACCATCAGTGGGGCAAAAACACCCCGGATACATCAATAAAAAACCATACGGTGGTGGAGGGGAAACCCGGCCCCCGGGCGAAACCCCTCCAAAGAAAACCCTATCCAACACAAAAACCATTGCTATCACGGTGGATGCACAACGGCCGCACTTATCAGAAAGGCCAAGGCGAAGACAAGATCTCAAGGAACTACGTTCCCCC